ATATATATATATATATATAGCACTACAAATTATATATGTATATGTTTTATAATTTATTTTATATTTTATTATTTGACAAGTTAAATCTCTCCGAATCATAATTTGCGCTTACATCTTAAAGACGAAATGCTGTAACTCTCTGATATTCCAATCTGTATTTTTGAAAAGGACCACATCCCGTATGGTCGAAATGTTAAAATAAATATATATACAACTTTAATTTGAGGCCAGTGTAGTCAGACCAAATCTATAACCTCTGTTTTATAATTGTCTAATGATAAATAATAACAGTAGCATATATAATTGAGAGTAAATTAGTATATTTTATATATATATATATTTATATATAAATAATATATCCACATATGTGCATAAGCATATATAAAATTTACAAAAATGGGTGCTTATTAGTCTTGCTGCGTTACTGCTTTCTGCTACGGAAGGCCAGAAAGCATTTTTAGGCGGCATCTCGCGTATACCGGCACGGTAGAGGAACAAGGAAAACACGTGATTATCGGTCCTTGTCTCTCTTACGTGCGTCCGCGTGAGCGATGCAGTGGTGTATGTACGTGTACAGACATACACCACTACATAAAACCCGAGAATTGGTTTCTCGGCGTTGGCAACACTGAGACCGGAGTTTCGCGTTGTCACCGCACGAGGTCTCCAATATCAATTCGGAGTTTGCCTGGGTGTACTGCCGACCCTTAAGGGTGCGATTACATGGACGCGCGGAAACGCGGAAACGCGGAAGAGAAAGTAACTAAACTTTACTAGAGTCCCGCATTTCCGCGCGTTCCGTTCCGTCTGTTTTGATTGCCTTATATTACATGGAGCACATTTTGAGCGGAAAAGCGGAACGGTATAGTGACAAATAGACATTTGTATTAATTTTTTAAATTTATATTTACTTAATTCATTGTAATTCCTTTTAATATGTTCATCTTTTCAACTTATCTATTGAATACAAGCATTTTAATCAATAAATATAGTTAAATATTAATATTTTATAATTCCCCGTTCCGCTTTTCCGCTCAAAATGTGCTCCATGTAATATAAGGCAATCAAAACAGACGGAACGGAACGCGCGAAAATGCGGGACTCTAGTAAAGTTTAGTTACTTTCTCTCCCGCGTTTCCGCGTTTCCGCGTTTCCGCGCGTCCATGTAATCGCACCCTAAGGGTCGACAGGTCGGTCGGCCAAACTCCGAATTGATGTTGGAGACCTCGCGCGGTGACAACGCGAAACTCCGATTTCAATGTTGCCAACGCCGAGAAACCAATTCTCGGGTTTTATGTAGTGGTGCATGTCTGTACACGTACATACACCATTGCATTGCTCACGCGGACGCACCGTAGAGAGACAAGGACCGATAATCACGTGTTCTCCTTGTTCCTCTACCGTGCCGGTATACGCGAGATGCCGCCTGAAAATGCTTTCTGGCCTTCCGTAGCAGAAGGCAGTAGCGTAGCAAGGCTAATAAGTACCTACTTTTTATAAATTTTATATATCCTTATGCACATATGTGCGTATATATATATATATATTATATAAGGGATATATTGATTATTCTTGATTTCTTTTTGATTATTGATGCTATTGTATAATTTGCTCTAATAACTTATAACGTGAAAGAACGTACCGTTGAGTAATATATAATCAATGCAAGGATGTTCAGTATATCATCCAGTAAATTAGAGTTCAAATATATCAATATCAATTTTTTTATAATACAATATATATATATATATATATATATATATATATATATTGGAATATAGAAAAATGATAAAATATATTTCGGCGATTTAAAAATTTTTTAATATATTGAAAATATTTTTACTACATATATATAATGTAAAATAATTCAGAAAATAAATTTAATAAAAATCTACATACCAGCTGTGTGCATGTGTGCAATTGATTTATTGAAATTTATTTACGGAAGTATTTTGCATTTATATATTTATAGTGTGTGTAGTTGTAAAATGATTAAAATATTTTCAATATCAAATTTTTAAGTTTATCGCCTATATAAAAAATATATTTCTATGATTTTCTATATTTTAATATATTATAAAAAAATTGATATTGATATATTTGAACTCAAGTTTTTTACGTGATTAAATATTCTTGCATTGAGCCATCCCACACGGAACAAAAACCTCTAATGGATGTCCACTAGACATCCATCAAGGAAATTCAAAACCTCTATTAGACGTCCACGAAACCTCCTATAGACGTCTACTAGACATCCACAGTTCCGCAATTCATATATCCATTCGACATCCATTAGACGTATTCATGGATATTGTATGGACGTAATATGAAGTATACCATGGAGCAATTTGGACGTAATATGGAGCAATCATAGATATTTCATGGAGCTTTGATAGATAATAAATAGACGTTAATTGGAAGACATATAGATGTAGATTTTTGATTTTGTTTTGGTTTATTTCGCTGTAAATTAATGTAGACAATTTTTTTATTAACAGAAAATATTTTTATTGATGAAATAAATATGTTTATGAATACAAGTAAAACTAATATACAATATATTATTATAAAATTAATATAAGTATTTTTTATGGAATAAAATTAATATAAGTATTTATAATGTACATATAAATTTTTCTGCGACTTATCTAACTCCAAGAACGACAAAAAGAAAGATAAACGCATTTACAAATTTATGAAGACTTTTCTCGCTCCATTTTCGTTCTCAATACAAAAACTTCTCAAATTTACATATATATATATATTTTTTTTTCCGAGTAACGCGAGGACATACAGGGTTTGTCCGGAAAGTAATGCGTCGCATTTTTTTAAAAAAGAATTTATTGATCGCATAGGTAAAACAACTTAAAATTGTTCGAAGTATGACCCTTCTGCGTCAATACATTTTTGCCAACGCGATTTCCATGCGTCATAAGATTTCTGGAACTCCTTGACTGGGATGCTGTTCAGGGAGGCCGTCGAAGTAGCTTGTACGTTGTCAACCGACTCGAGCTGTTGTCCTTTGAGCTCCCTTTTCAGCCGAGGAAATAAAAAAAAGTCCGCCGGGGCCAAACTTTCTTGAGCATTTCAAAAATTTCCAGCGGCGTCTTGTCCAGCTTCACGCAAAACTTTATCGCATAGCGTTGCTCTATCGTTCTCTCCATCACAAGTTCGACGCGACCACTAAGCAGAGGTTCACAGAATAAGCCGTCCTAACCCTCCAAGCGCATGGAAACAATTGAGCGACCTACCGTTGGAAAGCTAAGGGTACCCCCCTTCCTCCCAACCGGTCCCATCGCTCTGCGATGTATAGTCGCGTCACAAAAAATGCGACGCATTACTTTCCGGACAAACCCTGTATATCTTATAATTAGACAAATTAGGTCGATAAAATAATATATAGATACAAATATTTGTATAGTAATGCTAATTGTAATAATGACAAACATGAACGCTTATTCTCTTATGAAAAATTTTCGTATGCGAAGATGACGCTGAACGAAAATTGTGTGTGTGTGTTGTGTGTGTGTGTGTGTGTGTGTGTGTGTGTGTGTGCGTGCTGTGCGTGTGTGTGTGCTGTGCGTGTGCGTGCGTGTGTGCTGTGTGTGTCTGTGTGTGTGTGTGTGTGTGTGTGTGTGTGTGTGTGTGTGTGTGTGTGATTGGTATATACTTTTAAATTTAAAAATATATACCAATCTGAAGAATCGCGTAGCGTCTTTCGCATAGGAAAATTTTTCGATTTTAACAATTGAGGTCCTGGAACAATTCTAACAGGGAGAGGCTTCGTCCGCGCATATCACTGGCTTCATCGGTCTTCATCGGTCCAGTCTCTGCGATCTCGCTACATTGCTGAAATATAAAAGTATGTGTGATATACACGTATAATATAAAACATCAGATGGGTGATAAAAAAAAGTGCAAACGCAATATTAAAAGTAGATAAAAATTATTGCAGGAAAGGGGCACTGGAATTATATTTTTTTTTCGTCACACAATTTCCAATATAGACGAAGAGAGAATATAATTACATTGCCCCTCTTCTTGCTAATGTTGACGCGTTGACTTGTATGAAAGCGCGCAATTTATGACTACGTTTATACGATCCGATTTACGCCGCAATTATAACATCGATATTATTATTAATACAAACGTTTAAGGGTGACGTGTAAACGTAGGGTGCTTTCCATTTAGCGACACAAGTCGACACAAGTATCATTCTATCTTTGTTGTTCACTGTTGTTGAAAAAAGACAGAATGATGCTTGTGTCGACTTGTGTTGCTAAATAGAAAGCACTCGTAGTCATCTCGCTCGTAAAAGCGAAGCGTTCGCGCCAGTGATGTCAGAAAGAATTAAGCTTCGAGCAACACGCATCTCCCCCCCCCCCCGCCCTTATGGTTGCGTGTTGCTCAAAGCTCGCTTTTAAAGGCTTTGTTTACACCGAGCACTTAATACGCGTACCAAATCCTATACGTTCTATAGGTCAGATAAGTCCTATAAGTCAGATAAGAGTCGGTAGTCGCGATCGACAGTTGAGTCGGTCTTTGTAGTCTTGCGACAGGAGCTTAACAGTGGTATGTGGCGTATGTACAATATGTGACGTAATTTACGGTCTTGTGGAAGGATCAAATGTAGTGTTAATATACAGTGAGCGTCAAAGATGAGTATACATCTAAAATACATATAAACATTAAGTAACAGTATAATGTGTAACATTAATATTATAATTTTTCATATATAAGGCATGCTACATTGCAATTACGTTGCAGTTATCTTGTTAAGTGAGAAATTATAATATTAATAGGAGCTTTCCGGCAAGACACAGTGTAACACAATGTTCACTAGTGTAAGTGAGACACACTGATACGTTCTCTCTCACACTAATGGACACTGGTGTCGCCTGTGTTACCTGCTGGAAAGTTCCCAAAAATGTTACGTTACCGTTAAGCCTGAGACACAATGCGAGGCAATAGCGATAGGAATAACATAGCACAAATTTCAATCTATAAGAAACCACATTCCATTGGTACGTGGTTTCTTATAGGTTGAAATTTGTGCTGTGCTATTTCTATCGCTATTGCCTCGCATTGTGTCTCAGGCTTTACTTTATCTTTACTGGAATTCTAAAGTACAATATTAGAGAACTGTGTTTTCATTGACATTATTAATAACTTTTCATTTCTCTATTCACTGCAGTCCTCCAAGAAATTAGACAAAGCATTACCTTCGCGTCTATTCATCCGCTTCTCCTCATTTTCATGCCTCGCCTTGGAATGTCGGAACCACTCCATAACTCGTCGTTGTATTTTTCTCTGGTCGGAATCCGGGATATTGTGAAGTATGGATCCTGTAAACATTTTCTTTGTTTTAACTTTCTTATTTTATATTCATTGAGATAGAGAGTGCATAAATTATATTTGAATAATTTTGCTTTTTTAGTTTTATAATGCAAAAAGATTAAAAGTACACAAAATTTTATTCACATAAATTGATTCATCGAAAACTTTTTAAATTTGATTAAAATAATAAACAATTACGAATATCTACGTGGTGTCGAATGGAAAATTGCTGAAAATAAACAGCTGTCATTTTCAAATGCACATAGAGAGGAAGCAGTAAAAGTAAAATATTTTCTAAGAGAGGCATTTTTATTTATACATAGAGTAAAGACAAATATCGGAAATATACTTATTATTTAATAAACGATTTATAAAAGATGGTTCAAGATAATAAAGGAAATTGATCAGAGCTGTGAGAATTAAAAGCAATGAATGGCATCTCAAAAGAGACGTAAAGTTACGTAAAATTATTTATAGTTTCCGCAAGAGATATGATTTTGTTTCAATGATGTTTTAATGATGCACTTTAAATATGTCATTAAAAAAAAACTTTATTATAAATGATAAGAATGTCTTTACTCTATGTGAAAATAAAACTGCTGAATGTCCTCTATTTAAAGATATTTTAATTTTTTCTGCTCCCTACGTGTATTTAAAAATAACAGCTATATATATAGGTATACATATAGGCCCGTATTCAGAACTGCACGTTTCAGAACGGTCAATTTTTAACGCACATAAGAAACAAAAAATTAAAAAATTTTTTTACAGAGGACATTTTGCATTTATTTACATTTAAACAAAGATAATTGTGGAAATAATTTTATTACTACGAACAAACGTTTATTTCAAAATGCTAATTAAATATATATATATAACAGTTAATTTCAGTAATTTATCAAGGGCGCATTGTACTATATTGTCCGTATTCGGAATGCGCTTTTAAAAATGTTAGCGCGCTTTTTTGTCATTCTATCCTTATTTCACGTTTAATGAACAATAAAGATAGAATGACAAAAAAGCACGCTAACATCTTTAAAAGCGTTCTGAATACGGACCATGCATATAGTACAATGCGTCATGATAAATTACTGAAACTGTTATAATTAAATTAGTATTTTAAAATAAACGTTTGTTTGTAGTGATAAAATTATTTCCAATCTTTATTTAAATGTAAATATAAATGCAAAATGTCATCTGTTAAAAGATTTTTTTATTTTTTGTTCCTTATGTGCGTTAAAAACTGACCGTTAATTATAGTCAACAAATTTCCGTGACACCCTGTAAAATAACACAGAGAGAAAGAGCGAGAGAGAGAGAGAGTTTGCATTCGCGCGCGCGCGCGCGCGTGTGTGTGTGTGTGTGTGTGCAGTTTTTTTATCTGTCATTATGTGTATATATATGAAAGCATTACTTAATCACATATTTTTACGTTTAATTAATATTTAAACTTACTGAAAATAACTTTCATCACTTCCAGTTTCTGCAGTGGTTCCTTTCCGCGTCGGCCTTCCCAGTTATATCTCTCCGCCAATTTATTGGAGAATACTTTATACAATGTTCTCTTTACGGCATCATCGACACTTGTCCCTCCGATGGATTTGATATATCCGCGCTATAAAATAAAAAGGTAAAATAATATATTATTATCAGATTAAATAATTCCTTAAAATTCTTTTAAATTCTCAATCTTTCCAATCATTTTTTTATAACAATTTTAAATTATTAATAATCTGAACGATAAAATGTATGCAATAAAAGCTTGTAAAACTTCATGGTAATTGTGAGTTACAGTATTTGTTCAATTATCAAAATATAATTTCGCGTCTGATTATTTTATTGGTAAAATATTTATATCTTATATATATATATTTATATGCGTTTACTTACTATTTCAGTGTTATGTTGGGAATTTGACGCTTTCAAGATCTCCTCAACTTCCGCTAACTGAACTACGGTTTGCAAGGGAAACCGGTTTTCAGCGCCCTCAAAGGAAATTTGTGTTCTCTCACATTCTGTGTCTTTATTAATTTTGTCCACTATGATGTCTACTAAGGTCAGTATTTGCCTCCCAATAAGCACAAGTACATCCTATGTACGTACAACGGATGTCCGGTCCGGACATTGTGTACATCCATCGGATGTCCAGATTACCTGCAGCGGACGTACAAGGGACGTCCATTGTACGTCCGTTTGCAACTGGTCTGGACGTCCATAAGTCGTCCATTATTGGTCATTTATGGATTTTAAATGGATAAATTATGTATCTAACGGACGAATTTTGGATCTCATATAAACTAATTATGGATCTA